ATTGACTTTTTAAGTTTGACTTCTTTTTTCCTCCCTTCCCCACCCTGCCTCCATTAAGCTCACAGTTCAGGAAGTGCATTTTTAATCACCTTCATTCCCCAGTCTTGCATTCACACACTGACCCTCCTCATCAGAAGAATTAGGATACACTTCAACATACGTTCACAGAATCAGACTGGTGGAGGTCAGAAGGGACCTCTGGAGGTCCTCTTGTCCAACACGCCCCCCCCCCCCCGCCCTCCCCCCCGCTCAAGCAGGGCCACCTAGAGCCAGCTGCCCAGGACCATGTCCAGACAGTTTTTGAGTAACTCCGTGGAGGGAGACTCCACACCTCCCTGGGCAATCTGTGTCAGTGCTCAGTCACTCTCACAGTAAGAAAGTGTTTCCTGAAGTTCAGAGGAAGCCTCCTGTGTTTCTCTTTGTGCCCATTGCCTCTGGTCCTGTCACTGGACACCACTGAAAAGAGCCTGGCTCTGTCTTCTCTTCACCCTCCCTTCAGGCATTAAAACACACTAAGATCCCCCTGAGCCTTCTCTTCTCCAGGCTGAACAGTCCCAACTCTCAGCCTTTCTTCATAGAAGAGATGCTCCAGTCCCTTCATCATCTTAGTGGCCCTTCACTGGACCCTCTCCAGTATGTCCATGTCTTCCTTGTACTAGGAAGTCCAGAACTGGACACATGTTTGGTCACTATCTTCTCATGCAGAAATAATAATATCCCCCATTGGTTTGAATTACATTGGCAAGAAAAAGCACTTAATGGACTTTGGCTATCATTTCCTAGTCAGCTCCACCGTAAGTAAAATGCTTAGAAACTGATTAACCATTCTTTATCCGAAATATAACTATCAAGTTTAATAGGTTCTTCTTTTTCCACTATTTTGGCTCAAATTGGAAGGAGAGCATACAGCCTCTACACAGCTTGAGGAAACACATCCTTCCCCCACATAAGCATGTTCTAATAGTGACAGTTTTGTGTAAGCATCTCCTGAGGCATTACAGCATCTGAAGAAACCATCTTAAGAGGCAAAGATGCTTCACTTTGACAGTGTGCTTACCAGTTTCAGCCTGAAGGAAATTACGTAGTTACATTACAGAAAAGACAGTTTTACAGAACAGTGATATATGCATAACAAAATCACAACAAAAGGGTTACTATCCTGAAAGCCTGAGGGCTATGTGTAGCAATTAACTGTTAACACACACACACATCCCCCTTCCTAGGAGTAATCAGAGTCATGCCCTTTGGCTCACCATCACAACTGCTTTATCAGGAAAGATAAAAGGAGCAGCACCTCCCATTCAGTCACACTATCAGCCAAAAATAACAGTCTCAATTTTGCCGTATCTTGCTCACATACTTACACATCCCATCAGTTTTTCCAAGAGACATGGCAAATCTCAAGGTTTAAGAGTAATTTTATTTTTAGTGTCTTTACAGTAAGACTTCCATGACCCAACCAAGTCAGTGCTGTAAACTCCAAAACACCAAAAAAATCTGCCCCTACCATTAACAGGTTATACACCAAAACAAATGATCAGAACACAGGACAGTGATGGGAACACAGCTGAATGTGATCCCAGCTTTGCAACAGGCCTGTTGGATAATCTACTTCTGCATGCCTTTATTCTTCCTTAAAAACTAAAAAGCTCAGTATTTTCTAGTCACATTGTACAGAAAGTACAATTCCATTTTTTGTATGAAGGAGCAGGCTGTCCACAATGGGAGTGGAAATAAGCAAAACCACCTCCCTTCAGTTGTAGCAACCTGTTAGTGCATTGAAGCTGCTAAGCCATCCTGTGCAAATCCTTAAACGCCCGTATTATCAACCTAGCTACCCAGGGCATTCTCCTGAGCTAACTAGAGATTTCTTCCAAGAATACAGGTCTGAAAGGTAGGGAAATATTTCTTGACCAGATGCTCTGTTACAGTAGGAAAATCAGATACGTGTAGCTGGTACTAGTCTATATTCCCCCTTTCTTCTGCCTGTGTTTAAGATCAGGCAGTCACTCCTGAGCAGCTTCCTTTAAGCCAGATGCCAACACTCATCTTCAGATCCCAGGGCCCACAGCTCTTCAGACTCACTGTCTATGTTGAGACCTTAGGATGCCAGCCAGGAGAACACTCAAGCCTGGCCTGATACAGTTTCTTCATCTGTAAGGACAGGGCCTTCAGCTGCAAGAATTCCTCATCTTCAGAAAATGAAGGTCCAAACTCAGGCTTGCTACAGATGCCATCATCACTCTTGGTATGCAACACAAAATCCTTTCTAAGAAGCACTGTACAGCCACATGATACTGGTGAAAGGGTGTGTCTGATACAGGACACAGTAACAGACAAAGCAAATCAGCTTATCCACAGTGCAGGTGTGTGTGCAGCTAAGTGTTCCCTTGGGGCTGCTGCAAGCCCATACTCAAGCACAAACTGGAATATACCCTATATCTGATATACAGTAGTTAAATGCCTTCAAATTAAAACAACAATATTTAAGGCATTTGCTTTTAAAAACTATCTTCAGTGATTATATTGCTTAGATATTTGTGTGTTAAAAGTTTGAACTTGACAGTTCAGCCTCTTAGTCACTTCAGGTAATGTAACTTTAAAGCTGACAGCGTGAATTCTTTACATCAACACTGTTGCATGCCACAGCCACCCAGAAGTTGATATATTTAAACATTATTTTCCACCTAAAAGTGTAGGTCAGGAGTAAAAGTCAAAGACACATTGCAAAAACTTTACTTTCTGTAGAACGGATAACACAGTGAAACTACTGTAGATATAACCTTTACTGTGGTATGTTCTTTAAAAAATTTAGTGTACCACTACATATACGTTGGATCAATATATAATTGAAGATATGGCTATTAGCAGCATTTATTGTGATTGTGTGAGATTTTAAACTTCAGCTTAGTAACTTGACAATATTTTATATTGAATTCATGTGTGCTCTTATCCTGCAGCAACAGTTAATAATAGAAAGGATTATGGATATTAATCAACAGGGAACACAAGTACATGTTCTACATGAATAATAAAAATCATAATCAGCTCCCCAGGTCCTTGGATTTAATGAGAAATCTGAAGGTAATCCCATCTAGTTAAATATAGACTTACAGGAGTCACTACCTACCCGCAAACAGAGCTGTTCAATCCATGTCATCGACAGATAGCTTACAGCCATGCACATGGAACAGAATATCCACCTCCACGATCCAGCTGCTATTCTTAAGACACAGCCTTAAGTCCTGCAAGACTTTGGGGATTGCTATCCCACATACTTACATAATCACCTATTCCATTTTCTAACTAAGCCATCAGCTAAATATTAGAATACAGCTCAAAAGGGAAAGCTCAGGAGCAAGTGGGGATTGAATCTCTGCAGGATGAAGAGAGATTCTCTAGTTCTAGGCAGGCTTCTGTTTTCTTCCTTTAAAACTGGACTTTCAAACCCCTTCAACTTCAGTGAAGTTCATTCCCAGATGGTTATAAAATTCCACAAAATGGCACAACAGAAATGCAAGATTATGATTAGCAAAAGGACTTAAATACAATAAAATGGTGCACTGTTTTCCGAGATTGCAATTTAGAGTAGGATTTTTTATTTATATATAAATATGACCATTTTGTTTAGTGCTGTAGTATGAACTTTTATTTTCTTTTAATCTGTATTACTCAAACATACACAAGACATCATCACGGAAGACAAAGATGTCTAAAAAATTAAACCCAAACAATTCCACTTGTGCAGCTTCAACAGATACCACTTTCAGTACCTTTAACAGGAAGCCTGTATCCTTAGAAGCCTTGTTTTGTTTTATTTCCCCTTCATCTGGTAATTTCCCCACTAAAGACCCTTGGTCCATCCTGGCCAGCTTCAGTCCCGATGAATCTGTAGTTTTATCTGGATACCTCATCAGCCAGTTGCAGCCAAAACCCACTTTACCACTGCCAGTTGTTTCTGAATTGAAAATTCTGGACAAGACGCTCAAGTAGCCTCAGATGTGCCTATAACAATTAGCCTAGACTAATTTCATCGGATAATAGAGTCCCAAGCTATCAGTTTTATATCCCTGACATCTCCATCAGGAAGAATACTAGGCTAAGAAACAGGAACTGAACACTTCCCACAAAAGTTGAATTTTTTTTAGTTTTAAGAGGATATTGTTTTCAACATTCTGTTTTAGACTAATTGCAGAGTTAAAAATATTCTCACGCAGTTCCTCTTGTCTTTGTTCTCACTACCATTAATTTTAGATTTTCCAGATAAAAAGTATTTCAGATAACTTAAAACATTTGAGACCTCATCGCTCTCTACAACTACCTGAAAGGAGGTTGTAGCGAGGTGAGTGTTGGTCTTTTCTCCCAAGTAACAAGCAATAGGATGAGAGGAAATGGCCTCAAGTTGCACCAGGGGAGGTTTAGATTGGATGTGAGGAAAAACATCTTCACCAAAAGGGCTGTCAAGCATTGGACCAGGCTGCCCAGGGAAGTGGTGGAGTCACTATCCCTGGAGGTATTTAAAAGACATGTAGATGTGGTGCTTAGTGATATGGTTTAGTGCTGGACTTGGCTGTGCTAGACTTGATGATCTTAAAGGTCTTTTCCAACCTAAATGATTCTATAAGAAAATACAAGAAAGGCAGCCTCCCATCACAGTGGTATGTGATCAGCAAGTGGGAGAAATACTTTCACATGTTTAACTTTGCCACCTCCATCATGACTGCAACTATGGTTGCTGTGAAGACATGTACCCACATTTCAGTATCCTACAAATCTGAACAAAAGAAAAACATTTTTGTCATTGTAGCTGACAAAAGGGCTTTTAAGCTCTTGAAATAAACATCATGGCAGAGTGTTGTTGTCACCTTAGAAAGAACTCGTATTTGTGATCCAGTTCCTGTACAAGACAGATTAAACTACCTGTTTCATTGAAACCACAATAAGTACAGACATAAAGCATATGTTTCTCTTACATTGAAGACAGGAAACTGACACTGTACCTTACTGTCCTCATCTTCAAACACAGACTGGTGAACATTACAAGCAAAGAGAGAATTCGGGAGATCGTTGAAGTCAATTATTTCATGAAAATCTTCCTCTGCAAAACATCTCTTTAAATCCTTGTCTCCATTTATAGAGTAGAGTAAGAACTGTCCTCCGTCCTCCGGGATGCAGCCATAGTGACTGAGGCCTCGCATTCCAAAGAAGTATGAGTCTCCCCTCATCCCTGGCAGCATGAAGAAGAGAGACATAGTTACAGTACACTTTTAAAAATATCACACACACAACCTGGAAATTCTTAGTTTGGGGGCTTAGTTTGTAGAAAGTATATTTCACACTATATTAAGGTAACAATTGACCTCTGAAACAGGGCACTAAGACTAGTTTCACCAAGGCTCAAATAGGTACTTTGCTTTAGTTTCATTTATTAGCACAGAAAAGACCTAACCATATCAACACAAGCTGCAGAATACAACCAGAAGCAAGGCATTGCTTAAGTGCCCCTTGCCCTAAAAGAAAATACTATGTCGTATTTGGGTTTAAGAGAGTCTGTTTGTTACTGGGAAGGCAGGCTAGTGCTTCTGAGCTTGCAGTCGGCTTAAAAAGTGTAATGCACTGGATAAGAAGAAAATGAAAATAACTTTGAAAATTATGCCAGGCATCAACTGAAAGAAAAAAAGAAAAAGAGACCCTGTTAGAAAGTAGCATGAACACAGAAATCAAAACCAGTACCACTAAGACATCAC